TACTCTCTCTCTCTCTCTCTCTCTCTCTCTCGATAAAAGGACGACTTCTAGAATGATACTTCGTAATTACGGGTCGTGATTCTTCTACGCATCCTCCGAGAAATTTTTCTCTCTTTTCATCTTGATCGGTGTGCGCTATCACATGGCCAGAATCATTAACAGCTCGTCGTCTTGTAACGTTCGTCATGCACGGTTGCCTACGCGAAGGGCACTCGACGAGGGACGATGCTGCGTAAACAGGTATCCGCGAGCTCCTTAACGCATTTTTTTCTTTTTTCCACTTCCTTTTTCTCCTGTTTCCCGCGCTCACGCTCGGAATATCGCGAATACGGTGAAAATTAATGAGGGGCAACGATAACAAGGAGAACGATCGTGTCTGGAACCGTCTATTTGCGGAAATAGCGTGTTCGTCGCAAATAGCCGCCTCCTTCGATAGTCGATAGCGAAGTTGAAGTTTCCGAGAAAATAGATTCTCTCTCTCTCTCTCTCTCTCTCTCTTTGGTAAAAACGATGTTTCGATTCGAGATTGAGTATCATTTAGATTATACGAGGATATTACTCGCGTTTGTTCGATTATCTTTTTCTTTAAATCGGATGGTAAATACGCGATTCGACCTCTAGCAAAGAATCGGCAAATTATCCTTTCCTTCGCTATAATTCGCGCATAATAATGTATCGCGATTCGTTGCAAGAAGTTAAGAAATTTATCGGGCGGACGAAGATTGATCGAGGCGAGAGATTAGAAGGAAAATAAGAAACTGCCGACCTATTAATAAGATCGAAACGATCTCTTATCCAACAAATGGTATTGCGTCACGAGATCCAAGAATCACGATACGCGTCGCGTGTAATAAATTTCCTCTCCTACGATTTTCGAAATTTCCTCTCCCTTTCCCGACCTTTTCTCCAATGAAATTAATCGGATTCTGTTGCAGCTGCACGCGGCCGCGCTGTCGTCGTTGCGGTCCGAGGTCGCCGAGCTGAACGCGAGGTTGGTGGCGGAGACACGAGCCAGGGAGGCGACCGAGGCGGCTTTGGTCCGCGCGGAGCTTCAGGCCGCACGGGCGGAACAGAAGGTGGAGCAACAAGCGGCGAGGCACGAGGAGCGGCTCACCGAGTTACATTCCGTGATCGCCGAGCTTGGCAGGCAGCTCGAGAGGCATCGAGCTACCGTAATTGCCGAGGAGGATGAGTCTGGTAAGGGAGATTCCGTGAACCTGTGCGCTCTCTATCTCCCCTTACGACCAAGATTTATTACCTAGGCCGAGACTGTTTGATGTTTTAACGCGCTTCCCGCTGCGAGGGCATCCTTCGTTTCTCTCAACACGTGGCCAAAATATACGAGATTTTTCCTTAAACAGAGAGATGATTCTCGTCCAAGTGTTACATCTCTCTCTCTCTCTCTCTCTCTCTCTCTCTCTCTTTGTTTTAATTAATCATCTCTGGTTTCCGCAGAGATAGAAACGAGCAGAGACGCGGAAGGATCTATCACTAATCCCGTGGAAGAGAGCGAAGGCGGAGGTGACATTCAGGGGGATGGAGATCGTACGTTGGGCGATGCCGATTCCAGCTGCTGCGAGGACATCGAGCCACGTACTGTCGAGGTACGTACTACTTGTCGATCGTAAGCTCCTGCTTTGTCGTTTGTCTAATCCGGATTCAGAGTTCAGAAAGTTTGTGTCGAGATGTAAGACGCGATCGAAATTCTTCTTTGATCAACGATTGAATAATAATCGTTAATTCGCATGATTCGCAATGGACAGAATGGGAGAGAGCAGTTGGACAGTCCGGCGGCGTTACCAACACCAGAACCGACACAACAGGCGGCTTCGTGCCAGAGCGTGGCCGTGGCAGCGTTGCAAGAAGAGGTCACAGCCCTTCGAGCAGAGATCGCCAGCTTGCAGGCTCAACTGGCCAATTTCAAGAATCAGGCTAACAATCAGAGGCAACAGGCTGGCAGCGAGTCGCCCCGTAGAGAGGCACGAGTGGGTAGCAATTTAACCTACTGTGACGTATCATCCCGCGTAACGCGTACAGTCAATGCGATTTTCACTATAAAGACGGAATGGAACCCCGCAAAGAGTTTCTCCGCGATGAAAAGAAGATCGTTCCTTTCATCTTGATGCACCGAAATGCACTTTCCCTCTTTGAAAGGAAACCACCGTTGAATGTCGAACGAATTTTTTGCATCGTTACCTCGTCCTTTGGCCAGCCTTTGATCAGCCAACACTTTCACAAAAATATTTATCAACCCTTCCGTCTGTAATGTTTTCCTCGTGCTCTTCTTTGATTTCCGCAGACAAGAGGCAACACCAGCTCACCGGAACCTTTGAGTGCACCTTGCTCGCCACTCTTGCCACCCCTGCAGACACCGCCGACAAAGAGCGTAACGAGGGAGGAAGCTCCAGTTCTTAAAATAGCCGAGAGGGTAAGACTCAGGAGGACCGACGAGAGGCACATCACAGGACCCGATATTACTAATCTGGGGGTACTTGTGACTTATATTACTCATTACCCCGTTGTTGTTCATATATTTTTCTTTTTTTCGCTCGTAATTACGATTAATCACTAGTTATATAATTATACAACCGTAGCTTTTTTTTTATTTATTTATTTATTTATCCCTCTTGTGAATTTTATAAATTTGAATGAAAGGTATGTTCCACTATGGTGGCCGAGCATCTGGTGTCGGATCTCCTGGAACACTCGAACATTCAAGAATTGAATGGATCCGAGAAACAATTCGAAGTGGAGACGGAAAGATTGAACAGCAGGTTGGAACATGCTCGAACGAACAACGCGGTTCTTGCCTTGACCTTACACGAGAGTAAAGCGCAATGCGACAGGTATACATTCGTCTTTCCTCCTCTAAAATAGAAAATAGAAAATAGTGTAAAGATTACGTTTACGAGTTTCGTCTGTTCCAGATTGAGTCTTTTAGTGGGAAAGTACGAATCGAATGCGATTGCATTACGATTAGCCCTTTCTTATAGTGATCGCGCGATAGAGGCTTATGATGTCCTGGTAGCATTGTTGGAAAGCGAGATCGCTCTGTCCACGGAAAGAAACAGCATTACGATCGAGAACAGGAGAGCGGCCGAACATGTAGCCTGTCATGTGTTGAATAAACTAGAGAACGAATGTATGAATACTCTGAATGCACCGTGGGAAGATAGCATAGTTTTGTCGGACGAGTAAATATATAAGAAAATAGCAATAATCGATAAATTTATTTTATTTTTTTTTTTTTTTTTCTATGATCCGATTTCATGATCCTTAGATCGGAAGTGACTTGGTGCGTTGAAGATGAGCAAAGACTTAGAAGACACATCAGCAGATTGAAAGGGGAACGAGCTATGGTTAGATCGACTGTAGTGGAATTAGAAAGCGTTCACGCTGAACCATTAAACTCAAAAAACACCATTTCTCTCGCAGAAGCTCGAAAATTAGATTTAGAAACAGCTGTACTTATGCAGGTTTGTTATTTAGTTTCGAATCATTCGAAGAGAATTCAAAAAGAAATGTGGTCAATTAAAAAATCACGCAGGAATTAATGGCTATGAGAGAGGATAAGGCAGAGCTACGAGCACGGGTGTTTCTGTTGGAAAAGGAACGAGCTACTATAGAATTGAAATTAAATGCACGTGATACGCAAATTGCAGCTCAGCATGCCGCCATTGAACATCTTCAGGGTCAACTCAGAGATACAGAGGCCATGCTGGCAATGGCTACGAATAAAGTAAGAATTTCTCTTCATCTGTAATAAAACTTTTCGAATCGATAAAATATATATATATGTATATATTATGGATATTATAGGATCGAGGTTTAAGCGATAACGAAAGTGAAGGCATGGAATCCGAATTAATAGAAGCATTAGGTCGAGAGGCTAGGCTAAAAGAACGATTGCAAGAATTAGTTTCTACTTTAGATAAAGTTAATAAAAATTCTGAATTGAGGCATCAACAATCAGCTGAGCTTATTAACGATTTAAAAAGAGCCAATGGGTAATTAAATCATGGATAAAAATTAATTTATTGATTGAAAGATATTATCTTTTAATCTTGTTTTTAGAGCCCTGGTACAAACTTTAGAGAAATCTAAGAAAAAATATCAATCCAGACTAAAAAAATTGGAACAACAAATGTTGGGTATGGTGGAAAGACATGCTGCTCAGGTATGAACAAGCATAAATGTGATGTGTGATATATGAAAGAAGTTGAGAAGAATTGCCAAAATTGTATTTAAACTGTCTGTAAAATAATTTATTACACTTTATATATGTTTTTACATAAATCCTTCATAAATCTTCATAAATTATATCAACATCATTCTGAAAACCTAAAAAAAGGTATAAAATATTAAAAATTTCTGTTGCTGTAAAAATGAAATATTGAGGTTATAATATTGTACTCACTAATTTGTTATCGTAGATACAAATTCCATTTTTGTCCATTAACTTGTGGACAATATTTGCTATAATTCATTTATTCATTAATTATATATTTCTTTTAATCTCTGTTGAACTGCTTCTTCTATTCTTCTTTTTTTATACGTTTTATAAAAGTTAACCTCTCCAACATGCCAATGAATCATGGTGAACTCTAGCACACCACCCATGACAAAACATAATGGTAAAAATCTAAATTCCTTGAAACGTTTACCAGGCATTTTATTTGCGAATTTTTTTATTATTTTTATTATTTTGAACGATGCCATTCTTATTATCGTGTACCGCACGATGCCTTTTCTGTATCGCCATCTTGCCTTGTCAATATTGAACTGCGCTTGATTCTGCGCAGTAATTTATTATCCCCAATAAAAATTATATTCCCAATAACTGAATTAATTTAATTTTTTGCTATTTCTTTTTTTTTTTTTCTTTTTTTTTTTTTTTATTTTACATATCTCTTGATTTATAGGTAAAATCTTTAAAACAACGGATAGCATTGCTAGAGGAGGAATCGACAGGATATAAAACAAGTTTACCACTTCAATCACAGAGTTCTGGTGCCAGCGAAACATCATTATGACAATTTAGTGATTAATCGAAATCAATCGATAAAGGCTTTACGAGTGTTTTTACTATTCTTCCTGTCATTACAAAACGATTGAGATAGAGATAAAATTTACGTATTTTTTTATACCAATAGTTGCCCAAGAATAACGCTTGATTATTCGCTTTTGTAATTATATAAAAAAAAAAAAAAAAAAGAAGTACGAGTTAGTAGCTATCCTAAGATTTAAATTACGAGCTAAGCTTATGCAAAAATGTGCTAGTGATACATAAATGCGAGCAAACTATTTAAAATAGTCCTCCAAGTATATTGTGAATTATAAATAATTGTTACATGATACTATATGTCATTTATAGACGATGATAGTCATCTTGTAAATATGTATATTTCAAGCATTAAAGAAAAACGTGATATGTGTAAACTATGATGAAATAAATTGTGCTTTATTAAATCTTGTATTGTAGCTAAAATTAGTGTTTTATATTTTTTAAATCATTTAATTTGTAATGTTATTTATTTCTTAATTTTATTTTCCCCGATTCCTTTAAAAAAAAATTATTTATCAAATAATAAGATATTTAAACAATTATATATAAATAATTAATATATTTTAATATAATTATACATTATAATTAATATATATAATTTATTTATTAAGAGTTTACTAACGAATCGTTATGATTTTTCTGTTCTGACAATTTTTTTTGTAATGCTTCTTCTATAAGATCATCTAAATCATCAAGCGGTCGATATATGAGATGCACAACTTGCGAACCGGCTGCCGTTGCAAAAAATGCTGATGTAATAAGACAAATATATCGAGTCCATGAAATACCATAAGGCATTGTGATAAATTATCTATAAAATAAAATATAAAATAAATATTAAAAATTTTATATTAATCTTTCTAGTGTTTAAAATATTTTAACTTTTTCATAAGATACTATTACTAAATAAGATACCATTTATGATTGCTAACCTCTTTTATATAAACGTTCGACGATATTTCAACACAACAATGGCAATCGATGAATAATATTTATAAATTAATTTTCATGATATTTATATAATGTTTGCATTTATTTTTAATATAATATATATAATATATATTGATATATTTGTGCAAAGAATACGTTATAAAAAATATTGTATTCTGTTTGCACTATGCAAGACTTTCCAATATAACCTATTTCAAAATCAACTTAAGTAAGATTAAGTAACTTTTTAACAATTTTAATTACAATAAATTTGTTTATTTATTACTAATAAGTTAATTTATTTATTATTTTTATATATTAATACAATATACAAAATATAATTACTCATAATTTTATACATTTATATTTTTACATATTGTTCTGAGGTTCTTGATTTTCTTGTTGATCCATTTCTGTTGCCATAACCTCTGTTGCACTTTTTTCTGGAACATCAGGTTCCTCCTCTCCTGGTACATCATTGATTTCTACTCCTTCACCCTTATTCATCATAGACTTTTGTATTTCTTCTTCTAAATGTACGCATGCTTGTTCAATCTCATAATTTTTTGATACTAATCCCACCCATTGTGCTTCCAATGCTCTTAACTTTTCTCCTCCTTGAGTTTGCATAGATTTTCTTTGCCAATTAACTTCTTGTATCTTTTTCCTTAATGCTTGTAATTGTTTTTGGGCTTGATTCACTAATTGTACTAATATTTCTAAATAAGATTTCCATGCTTCACATCCATATTCCATCATTAATTCAAGATTACAAATTCTGTGTTATTATAAAACATTACAATAATATATTAGTCACATTCTCAGGCTACAAATAATGTAAATAATTAAGCAAAAATATAAAAGATTAAAACATTAAAAATAATTTACCTTGTAGCCTGATGTTCTAATTGTGCACTGCTATTTTCTACACTTTCGTTCCATGCTGCAAGATCGTTCATTTTGCCTGGTGGAGGTGGAGGTAATTCATAACGTTTCATACTAAGTACTTCCATAGGTAAACGGTTTTGCATTCGTTCAAATTCATGTTTCATTACTTCTGTTTCAAAAGCAGTTATATTTAATGATGCCAAATGTTCTAAATAATTTTTCGTTGGTCTATAACGACGTGTTTCTTCTTCAACCATAGCCAAAGCCTACAATATTTATAATTAATTAAATTAATCATTCATTAATAATATAACCTAGAATTAATTTGATAATAAAATTTTATAAAGAAATATTATTTACCGCTTCTCTGACTCCAGGTTCATCATATCCTTGATCAATATATGGTAAAGCATCGACTACGACTTCTCCTGCCATTTAATACAAATTTGTATAAATGTAAAAATTTATAGTAACAGTTGACTTTTATTAATCACTCAGCATAGTTTAAATCTTATATGACGCACTTCCGATTATAATAATATTCATTTGGAAATGTATTTCTGTTAGAACTACCAATCACAATATAGCATTTTCCATCAAATTTTATCACGATTGGTGCATACTTATAAGAACATAAATAATTAAATTTAATTTCTATTATAAAATATAATTTTTTATAAATCAAAATTTAAATGATAAGCTTACGAACAATACAGAAAATTTATCTTTCAAATATTTAATTTAATTTATTACGTAAGAAATAGTATCTTTCATTGTAAATAACGTTTAAAAGAAACTATATTCTGAGCATGCGCGACTTTTAATGTGTAATTTCCGCTCGCGTCCAACTTCCTTTATAATCAGCTTAGGCGTACAAGCTGCATCGTAAGTTTATATCTGATGTGTGAAAAGTTGTGAAAAGAGAGGTGAGATGGTAAGAAATTTGATATTTTGTTCGGAATTGAAGAGAATCTAATATCTTATATAATTTTATTGCTAAAATATTCTATAATTTTAAAAAGTTTTACATAAACTTAAGATTGTACACAGATCGCATAATTGGACCACGTGTAACATCTTGTGATATATAAATGAATATAGCTTATTTCTGTTATATATTGAAGTATAACTTATAATTTCATATATTTTTTTTTACTATCTTTATTTTCTTCCTATTAAATATAATAATCTGTTTTATCTTGTATGAATATATTTATATTAAAAATATAAATACTTTTTATCAATTAGTCCGCCATATATTTCATCAATAGAATAGTTTTACCAAAACTCGTAAATTTTTTTTTTTTTTTCTCTCATTAATTTTCAATAATATATTTGGATATAAATAGATTTTTATCTTATTTTTTGATTATTATTATTATTTTCATTTTACAGTCGTTATCAACGGCGCGACCGCTTGTAACTATATATACCGATAAAAATGAATCTTCAGGAGATACAATTTCTCTACCGGCTGTCTTCAAAGCACCAATTCGGCCTGATATCGTGAATTTTGTTCACCAACAAGTCTCAAAGAACAGCAGGCAGCCATATTGTGTTTCTAAAGAAGCTGGTGAGCATATATTATTTTGTGCCCAATTTTTTTTTTTATATCTTAAAGAACTAATATACAATTATTAAATGTAGGTTTCTTTTATTAGGTCATCAAACCTCTGCTGAGTCATGGGGTACTGGTCGTGCTGTAGCACGTATACCTCGTGTACGTGGTGGTGGTACTCATCGTTCTGGCCAAGGTGCATTTGGTAACATGTGTAGAGGTGGACGCATGTTTGCCCCAACAAAACCCTGGAGACGCTGGCATCGTCGAATTAATGTTAATCAGAAAAGATATGCCATGGTTTCTGCTATTGCTGCATCTGGTGTTCCAGCTCTTGTACAATCTAAGGGTAAATAATAATTTTTTTTTAAAGAAAAGAATAATAATTCTAATTTAGTCTATTTATTATTATTTTCATGATGATTGCTTTTGGTCCGTGTTTCTGATTTACCATTGATTATTTATAGCATTCGAAGTATCTGATACAGAAATTTTCATATATTTAATTTTCTCTAAATAGACCAATTATTACATTATGTATTATTTTATGTTCAGGTCATATGGTTCAAGAGATTCCAGAACTTCCTTTAGTAGTATCGGACAAAATTCAAGAGTATAACAAGACTAAACAAGCTGTTATCTTTCTGAGACGTATTAAAGCATGGAATGATATTCAGAAAGTAAGCATATTTTAAATAATTTCATTTTTGCACTGTAGAATGTCCGCATCTTTGTTAAAATAATTTTAATTCAGATGCTCCTATCAGGTGCTATATAAACATGGTTATAATAGGCGTTCTTTACTAGCTAAATTAATTGCTAGGACAGGGTGTATTTAACCAAACAAATTAAATTAAAATACATTGATTTGAGAAAAAGATAATAACCTTTTATTTATAGGTATATAAATCTCAACGTTTTCGTGCCGGTAAAGGTAAAATGCGTAACCGCAGACGCATTCAACGTCGTGGACCTTTGATCGTATATCATCAGGACCAAGTGTGTAGAAATCTAAAAAAAAAAAATAATAATAATTTATTTATCATATTTATCAATATTTATCTTTTTTTTTTTTTTATCTTATATTTAGGGAATTCGTAAAGCGTTCCGTAATATTCCCGGTGTTGATCTTATGAATATTAACAAAATGAACCTGCTTAAATTGGCACCTGGTGGTCATGTTGGACGTTTTGTAATTTGGACAAAATCTGCCTTTGAAAAATTAGATGCTCTTTATGGAACTTGGCGTAAGGAATCGCAACTTAAAGCCGATTATAACTTACCTTTCCCGAAAATGATGAATACGGATTTGTCGAGACTTTTGAAATCTCAAGAAATTCGTAAAGTTTTGAGAGCACCAAGGTATATAGATTTATATTATAAGTTATTATTTAAAAATACATTATACAATTTTCTATATATGATGAAATTTTTTGGTCCGTGTTGTTGATTGACAGTGATTATAACTTAACCATATCTGACGTTTACTCTTTATGAATCTTTTATAATTGTTTCATATATGATATATTTATTAAGTATAAATTTCAAACTTGCAGAAAGAAAGTAGTCCGCAGAGTAAAGAAATTGAATCCATTGAGCAACACTCGTGCGATGTTACGTCTTAATCCGTATGCAGCTGTTCTGAAACGTGCAGCAATTTTAACAGCTAGGAAACGACAACAAGAAAGAGAGCTTGCTTTAGCAGAAAAGCGTGGAGTAAGTTAATTTTTTGATATTGAATAAATCTATATGTTTTTACCGATTTTAACGAAAACATTCCATGTTTCTAGGTCAAGCTGCCAAAAAGTACACCGGCCGTCAAGACTAAGTTACTCCTTGAAAGACGCAGGAAGCAAATCTTGGCTGCAAGAGCAGCGAAACCTAAGAAAGCGGTAAAAGCAAAAAGTGCAACATCTGTTACTGCGGCAAAACCGGCAAAAACCACAAAAGCATCCGAAAAATCGGTAAAAAGTAGCCAGAAAGCCGCACCCGCTAAGAAGTAAACATTTTTATTAAGAATTTGTTGTTGACCCATGAACTTTATTTGTTTTGAATAAAATGTGGGAAGACAACTACAGGAAGATCGGTCTTGTAATTGATGTAACTTGTATCTCCTACCTTTGATGTTAAATCTTTTTTATAGGTATAAACATAATAATAATTAAATACATATAGTATTATGTTCTATTTCTTTTTCTTAAGAGGAGCGCGCATAAAGATCGTGTCGTTAAGTATTTCGATTGAGACTTCTTTCGCATTTGCTTCAGGTGGCATTAAGAAATTTAGATTTCTAATATTCGATAAATCTTCCGAACTATGCAATTTTATATTCAATGTATTTTCATTCACTAAAGTAGCTGTTCCTACTTTCAATCCTTCGGTCTTCATTTCTGCCTATAATTGGATAAAAATATGTATTAATAAAATTTTTCAATTTTAAATCGGGCAATTAATCTTGATGAAAGAAAACATACGGCATAATATTCTTTATGATCAATAATATAAAAATTGGGAATTTTTTCAAATCTGAAACTCTTCTTCTGTCCGTTTGTCATTATTTCAAAGTTCATGTACTCATTTCGCTTTAAAGTGACAGCATTTTCTTCATAATTATATAATAATTTATCCATAGTAAAGTTAAACTTTAAAAATTATTAAAAAAAAAAAGTTACGGAAATTTGTTTGAAATCATTTTCACGGGTCAACTAAACGAAGTTGGTAGAATAATCTTCTTTTATCTTTATCGAATTTGACATTTTGTTCATAACTTCATAGAAGAGAATATCAAGAAATACTTTCTTGCTCAATTTTCCTCAATATATTTTTTTCATTTTGCTAAGTTTTATCGCTGGAGCTGTGAGCACAAGCGTTCTATGTTTATTATCCACTACGGCTCGTACTTTTGCATTATCGATACCGTCTGGTATTAACAAATTCTCGCAATGTTTCATCATTTTCTTAATTACATCAGTAAAGATTGATTTTTCATTCATCTCTGGTAATTGTTTTGCAAATTGATCATCTAAGGGTTTAATCATGTTCACGCGAAGATTATTCCCTTTCACGGTTATTTTAATAGATGACAGGTCTACCTCCGGCGCCAACAACATTTTTGTCTACGATACAATAAATGTATAAATGTATCACTGATTTAATTTAACTGAAAGTAGTTGTGTTGAACCTCATAAACGTTATCTGGTCGAATTCCGCTAGACACGATTTGCGTTACGTAATTGGTTTCCATTGGTTTTACGGTAGTTTTGTTTGATTCTTGTTTAACCTGATTTCCAAGAGAACTCGACGTTTTAAGAAACTTCAACGAAGCCGAGCATTTCGGGCAGTGTCTGGTATCAATTATATCTCCATTACACTTAATACAGTTACTTTCCTTTACATCCATTTTCCAGATACTTTGAAGGCATATATTATTCACATTATCAAATTCACGCTAGCCTGTGAAAGACAACTCGAGTGTAGCGTTGAAATGGTATAACGGGGAATTTTTCACGATATTGTTACAATGCTAAAACTCACAGACTAAAATGTGATATGCCTTTGTACTATAGGTTTACTTGTCAATTTAAAAATCGTGTCGGAATGACAGGTGAAAATCAATGGATACAAAACAACAAAAGAATGCGAGAATCCTGTTTTTACATTATGAGATTCTGCAAGTATCAAATAACTTTTATCCCTTTGTTAAAATTATCATCGATGGAATGGAACGAAAGGAGAGTATTTTATAAAATTTTCAAACTTTAATGAAAAATTTCGTTATATCAATCTTTCTATAATAATATCATTCAACTCTAATATCAATTCTAAAAATTGATCCTAGTTAATCAAGAATTAGAATGGGAGATTCGAAATGACGAAAACTCCGTTTAATTCCGTCATCGCGGAATTATCTGCTTTCCGCTGCTAATCGAATCAAATTTCTAATCGACGGAAGTGGTGATCCTCCTCTTTGGGAGGATCGGGCGCGAAACACCAGAATGATTCCAACCTTGTACAAGCAGCCAGTTTGTTTAACATTCGTGTCTGCATTGTTTGAAACGCCTGCGCGAATTTTCTTGGGAATAGAGGTGCGCTGGTAGGGGTAGCGCGGGATTCAGGGTCGAAATTGCACGGTGGTTGAAAAGCATCGGATACCAGTCGAGGACAGGCGGTCTCGCGTTTAAGTGGTCTATCAATTCCATGTCGCCTTTGGTCCTGTTCCTTCATTACGGAGTTTTGGCCATCATTTTCGGGAACGGTAAGTCGTTTTTCTATTCATTCTTTCGAGTAAATTTAAGTTTTTCTCTTTTCTAAATTTTGCCAATATTTACCGTGGATTTTATTCTTTTTCATCTTTTTTAATTGAATTTTACAGAAGACAAAAAAAAAAAAGGAAATCAATTTTTATTGACACGTATAATATTTATTTTTCTTATGTTTGTTTAAACGGTGTATTTAATATAAATATCTTTTATTTCTATTACTCATTTCTTAAAACTATTTTCTCGATTGTTCGAATAATTACTTTAAGATATCGCGCACAATGAACTACGAAAGAAAAAAATTTTTCCTTTTTTTTTCTCTGTTACTTTGCACGACCTTTGCAATCTTCACTTGATCAAATCTGAAAATTGATTGCTATATCATGTTATCTGAACGAGAGAACAAATAGGGAGGTTGAAGAAAAAGTACATAATCTTGTTTGCATACCAGATTCAATCTCGATGCGTAACCAACGTCGAGAAAAGTACTGATTAAGGATGCCGGCCTCGCGATTAAAGGTAGTAATCTCTTCTGTCTATCCGGTAACTGGATTGCCCCGGCCTACAGGATTTCCCGAGCAAGAATTTAACGAGCACCGATTGAGTTATAAATAAGTTTCTTCCTTCGAAAAATTTCCCGCTCGGTCTTTAAATGGCCAACGTGTTTATCGTCCCTCGATGAATCGATGATTTTATCCTCAATTTTCTCCTCCTCGATCGTATCTTTTCCTCATCGCTCAAACCTGTCCGAGGCTTCAAGTCTTTTTTTACATAATATCTTCACGAATATACGAATATCCTATTTCTTCAAAACCATCTCAAATTCTTCTGAATATTTTACGTTACGTATTTAACACGTATTGTAGCAAAATTAAATTTCGGATCTCGATAGAAAAGTGTTCGATCGTGGATCATTATCATTATTATTGTTATTTTTTCTCTCTCTCTCTCTTTTTCTTTGGCTCTAGGAAAATATGGGGATATAATAATGTCACATCTCGAGATGTTAGCTCTGTTACCGATATCGTCCACGAGACGGGACCAAGGAAAACACTTCTCGTTAAGATGCAAATAACAAATAGTCGGGAACTTCCTGCGGGCCATATCTAACGGACCAGTTTAACTTGTTTCCACGAAAATAAACGACCTCGATTTTCTTCTGCCCCGAACGTTCAGCCACCGAAGAATTATTGAGGAACAACAACAGTTTAAATAATTCGTGTATCTCCACTCTTTTGTCTTTGAATTGTTGAGAGATATATAATATAACTCTCTTTCCTGAAAGAACGTATTCCCTGTGTCGTACATCTATATAAGCCAAGGCATTAACTCGAGTTAGGAGAAAAGGGTAAATTCTGTACGATGCAAATGTCGGTGTGTTAACATAACTTTTATGCGTGGAACTCGCAGCATCATCCATAACGAATAAACTTCTCTATTTGCATATGTGTACCTTCTCTCACGGAAATGGACAATTAAAAGTGAACAAAGAAGAACGAAAAGGAGAGAGGCCACTTACCGGGAACTGTCCTGAAGTTTGCTTCTCAGAGTTAAGCTCGGTTCAACCGACAGTTTTCAAGCCTTCGAGGTTTCCTTCCGGGTTTTGCAAACGTCGATTCCCCTCCCTTCCCATCATAGCCGATTCCACGAATCGTCGAACAGCAAACCGGTCAAGATTTGCACATCCTCCGGCATCCTTGAAAAATCGACCCGTTCGTTCGTTCACCAAATAGATCGATCCGTTTGTTTACCGTGCCGCGTCGATTAAGAATCGGCGAGCGTTAATCGTTCGAGCGCAAAACTTTCCCACCTTTCGACCTGTTGTTTCGTTAAAGAGCTGGAGAATGAATTTTTAACAACGCAACGACCGAACCGAGAAACTTTCGTCCTCCGGAAAAAAGGAGAGGTAAAAAGAAAAATGTTGGAAAGGAAAATTGAAAAGCTTTCATCTTTCAAAGTTGCACGCACACGATAAGTTTCCAAATCCGTTTCATTCGTCGAATCGACGATTTCTCATTCTCTGGAATATTTTTTCCTTTCCTTCCTCGATATAGGAAAACGTTTTATCAAAATTTCTTTATCCTACGAGCAAGTACGATTATCGACGGGGAATTACGGTTTTGTTTCGATCTCGAAAGGATCTCCCGTGTCGTTGCACGAGTATTAAAGGCGCGAAAGGATCTTTTTCGTTTCGAGGATTCTCGAACGGCCCTTCGAATGAAAGAATCAACGGGGATGAGAGCGCATTTCCTGGCATCGATCGCGTATCGATTGCCCGCTAATTCGCGAAACGCAATCAAGTTGAATCCTCGGCTTTTTTTCCTCTCCACTCCTCTCGGTTCGAGACGTTGCTTTTCAAATACTCGACGATCGTCATCTACGACGTCGTTGAAAAATTTGTCTCGATCAATCGCGGATGAGGGAGAATGAAGAAACGTTGCGTGAAAATTACGCGACGAATCGAATTTCACAAGGTGGAAAAAATTCGCGCACTGATTCTTCCGAAAGCGCGAATTTACCAAAGCGCGGCGGGGTCTGAATAGAATTTCATCGTCGTGGCGAAGAAAAAGCGGATTTTCGCGGTTCTCTCTCTCTCTCTCTCTCTCTCTGAAAAATTTCTCTTAAACGTCGCCGCGTAAACGTGTAGCGTGTAGAAAAGTATATTCGACGCGTTCAATTTGGAAATTATCGATCTTATCCGAAACGTAGAGAAGAAAAAAGAAACGACGTAAATCGACCTGATAGATCGGTCGTTAAAATTAGATCCTCCCTTCGTTTCTTTCACTCGATCATTTTTAACTCGCGTCTTTTACGAGATTTAAAAAAAAGAAGAGCAACGAGTCGAAGAATTTATCGCGTCGCGACGATTTCTCAACGATTTTCGAATAATTTTCTAGCAGACGATAGAACGGACAGATAGTCGAATAATTGGGAAAAGAGGGAATAGGGATATATCGCGACGCGTGACGTCGGTTTAACGATCGGAATTAAGAGGGGGAGGGGAAAATTCGCTGAACCGTGTGTCACTTTCGTGACCTTACACCTCTCAAAGACCAAACACACTGGAGCGGAGGATCGCCTCGAAAAAACTTGCCTGGAATCTGGGGAAAAAAAAAAAAGAAAAAGAATAAAAAAAACGTAACCACTTTTTTCAAGGAGCGAATTTATTTCACGGTTTGAAAAAGAGGAGGAGGCGTTTAAGAAAATTTTAAAAGGTCAAAGGGTTCGTTCTCTTTCTCCTATTTTCTAATTAATCGGATAAGTAAAAATACTCCTGTTGTATCATTGTCTCTCCGCCGAGAGATCCTTTATCTAATTGAGGTTTGAATGCAACGCCTGGCGAGCTTCGAGAAAAGATGAAATGAAGGGCAGATTGGCCTCGGTGGTCTACGAGAGGGCTTCCCCGCGTTTCGAGACACAATAGCCACCTTCGATGAAACGAACGGTTCTATCCGCTGATCGGAAACGCTATAATGGATATCCTTGATTTAAGGAAAGAGATTAGATTCGTGATTAGAGATCGAAGGCAGAGATTAAATTTGCGACAGACAATTAAAACTTGCCCTCCCCTTTGATACTCTAATTCCTTTAAATTCCTTTAAATTCGTTATATTTCACCGTGGAAAAATAAGATTTACGCGCGTTGAAGATCGGGGGAAAGAAATTGAAGGAAAAATTTATCACGCGAAATTTGATTGTTGCGACGATTCTTGCACGAATTGAATTCCACGAATACTTGCTTTTCCAGGTTTTGGGGATGAACACGAATATAGATTGACGAAATATCTGCTCGATGGATACGACGCCGGTGTACGGCCAGCCGAGAATTCCTCCCAACCCCTGGCGGTCGTCTTTGGTCTTTCTCTTCATCACATAATCGACGTGGTGAGTATGGAGAATTTGAGAGGAGAACGAACTCCCCCGATTTACCTCGTAAATTTAAATCGTCGATGTAAATGTGATTTCATCAAACGACGAGATTGGCCAATTCTCCCAATTTCTCGGGGAAAATCGACGTGTTACCACGAGACTTCGCCTTTCATCGATCGATTCTTAAAAATCGAGTCGATTCCATCCACAAAGAAACATCACGGAGTGCACAGGGAATCGAGATATCGTGAAAAAGAAATCGTAAAAGAACGCGGGTACAAAGCGAGAAAAATTGCCATTCGGATTACTGGATCCACTGCTTCGTGTTGGGGAAATATGGGTCGACCCTGTTCGAAGTAGCATTAATTTCCACTTGGGCAGAAGTATCGGCATTCCAGCGATACGCTGCCGTTTAGTTTAGCCGGGAAATATCGATTTATATTCATTACGACCTGTATACGTCTCTTTTCATACTTTCGACGAAGACATGCATCTCCGAGATCTTGGAGATCAGAGATCGCCTAGGACAAATGGCGATTTGTCTCGTGCGATTGACTCGAGGAGAATCATCTTTCGTCCGATATTATTTCGGTCGGACGTACGTATAAATCCTTTCGATTTTTCGCTCGCAGGACGAGAAGAATCAGATACTGACGACCAATTGCTGGGTGACACAGATTTGGACGGACCATCACCTGAAATGGAACGCCTCGGAGTTCGCTGGGATCCGAGTGATCCGTGTTCCTTACAATCGCGTCTGGAGGCCGGACACGATTCTCTACAACAAGTAAGCCATGATTCTTTCTTCGACGATAGAAAAAAAAAGAAATGGTTGGGAAACGAAAACGTGGAGAAGAAAAGAAAAAGAGGAAGAAGGTGGTGCGATATTTTGGTGTCGTAAGATAGAAGTTTCGATATCGATCGAAAGACGCGCGTCAATCTTCCGTCGTTGAAGAATCAGCCGGTTTTTTCTGTTCGTAGCGCCGATCCGCAATACAGCTCGGCAGTCATCAATACGAACGTGATAGTGAGTCACACGGGGGAAGTGGTGTGGCTGAGCCATGGGATATTTCGCAGCAGCTGCGACATCGACGTCGAGTTCTTCCCTTTCGACGAGCAACGGTGCGTGTTGAAATGGGCCTCCTGGACGTACGATGGATATCAAGTAAGATCAATCTCGACGAGGGGACTTCCCTCCCCCCCCTTCCTTTATTTTCCTCGCTTGGAAATCATTTCGATCGTGAAAGATCGAGGGAAGCTGTTCCCGTGGAAAATTTCGAGAATATCGGGAATGGCAATTTTGGAGACCGCGAAATTCAACCGATTAGAAGAAGGCGGAATACAGTTTTCCACGCAATTAACTCGAACTATAACCAGTCGACCAGCATGTGAAATCCAACGCGTTCGAATGCATTTTATTCGAATCGATTTTTAAATTACTTACATTGTTCTCCGATCCTTTTTTTTTTTATTTTTCTTTTCTGATGTGGCAATCAAAAACACGTGAACATGTTGGACATGTTTATATATTTTTTTTTTCTCGCGTTACAGAGATTCCTTCTTCTTCTTAAAAAAAATTCTAAAGCGTGCGCAAATATTATAGCAGCGTAAAATAGCGGTCAAGTAGCGTTTAAACGAAACGAACGAACAAGAGATTTAATCGGAGAGCGATCGGCCCGAGCCTTCCCTGCATTGCCCTCAATTTCACGCAGTTCCTCTCTCGGGGGGGGGACAGGATATGCAGATTAGAATGTGATATACGGGCCGGAGAGCCATCCGCTCAGACAATAAAAATATCCGTGCACAGAGAGGGGGAATGAGTTTAACCGAAACCTTGACACTTGACATTGGTCTCCTCCGGCTAACTTCCGTTCCGAATATCCCCTTTGTCCTTTGGTTTCCGGTTCCTCTTCCTCTTTTGAAAATCTATCCGTTTAATTCCCCTCCGATCCTTTCTTGTCTTAAAAAATCTCAACGTTTCACGAGCGCTTCGTCCAGGATTAAAAGTTGATCCATTGAGTGCAAAGAGTTTGCATATGGACGAATGTATATCGTTGAGGGATGATCTTCGATTCATCGTTCGTTTCATCGCGAAACCAGACGAAAAAAGATACGGAAAAGAAAAAGTAGTTTGATTAAATTAATTCGAGGATGTTGTCGCGGAAATTTACGTTAAATTTACCCTCCTAATTTGTGCAAGTTTGTGCTACGAGTGTCTGAAATATCTCTAGATAAGAAGAACTGTGTGAAACGTGTGCATGATAATTAACGCGAAAAGTTTCGTTTGATTATTACACGCGTATCTTCCCTTTATCTTTAATTAACGAATCAAGAGAGTATTATTTAATCATTTCATTTTTTCCAGCAGGTCATTCGTGTTGAAAGGAAAAATTTCGACAATGTTTTCCTTTTTTTTTTTCTCAAATTTAGACATTTTCTAAAGGGCAAGAAAATCGCGATACAACGATAACGTTGGGACAGATTTCTCGCGTGATCGGAATAGGATTCGGCCCTTGCCGAAGTCCAGGGCCGCTTAACGGGGACAAATCGAAAATGCCGGCTCGGCAGGTCGCAAAAATGGCACGGGCTTAAATCGAACAGCTTAATCCCAAATGCGAGAAGAATTCAATGCGAGTCGTTTCTCCATGCCGACGAAGCTCCACGCTCGAACCCATCCTTTCACAGAGTTTTCCCATTTCCTATCCCTCATGGAATACATTTTGCGTGTCGCTACGTTTTGCCTTTCTCAAATACCTTGGAAATACGTTTTTTCCTCCTCCACCTCCACGGAAAAATTCCATCCATTTAATTGATTAAATGCCAGGAAATTAACGCAAAAGGTGTGGAAGGCAAGGGTGAAAAGGTATTCGCATGATTTTTCGCTAAGCAAAAAAAAAAAAATAAATAAATAAATAGAAATAAAAATTGTATCCTTGGAAGAGCCATTTCTATCCTACGTCATATCGAATACGGTTTTCGCTTGGATTCGTTTCTGTCTTGACACCTGTCTGTCCATTATCACGCGAAATATATTGACAAGTAATCGCGTCCCATCCTGTTGGATCTAATTCAAATCGACGATCTAACGTTTTAATCCGGATACCTGAGAACATTAGTTCCATCCCCCTCCCCTTCCTTTGGAGAGATAATTGCTGCCCGCCAAGGAAACGTGGTTTTTGCAAATCGTTTATTACATCTTCCACCTTTTCCACCGCTTTAATCGTTGCGCTGAAAGAAGCGCTGAAACGCCACGGTTGATGATACAGTTGGAGCTGGAGAAGCAAAGCGAGCAAGGAGACGTGAGCAATTATCAAGCGAACGGTGAATTCGACCTGGTCAATTTCTCCGCGAGAAGGAACGTGGAGTATTACTCTTGCTGTCCGGAACCGTATCCGGACATCACTTACGAGATACGACTCCGACGTCGGCCCATGTTCTACGTCTTCAATCTGATACTTCCCTGCATACTCATCAACAGTGTCGGTGAGTGATATTTGATATTTTCGTATTTTTTCTGTTGTTTCATTCCACGCGAGTGGTGGAGCCATTGCGATATCGCAATAAGTTCGAGGGACGATACACGGCTGTTTGTTACAAAGGCGGAGCCTTATCTGTAAGAGGGTCAAGCGTTCTTATCGGATCTGAAGAGGAAATTTCATTAAAGCCCTCGAATCGTACGAAGGATGACGAGTCGCGTCACCTTTCTTTCTTTCTTTCTTTCTTTCTTTTTTTTCTTCTTCTTCTGCTATAGTAGAATTCCTCCGTGGAAAGGATAGAAAGGGAAAAAGCGTTCGAATCTTTGTATAGGAAACGAGCACGAGGCTAGAATCGGTTAACAATGAGACCCTCGTCCTCCACTCGATTTTTCGCGCGGAACTTTCCTCCTCCTCTCCCCCCTCTTTATTTGCTTCCCCGACACGAAAAGTTTGACGCTCAGACGTCTTAGAATTTCTGCGAATCCCATTCGATATTCCGTGACGGGGAATACACCGAGCTCTCCAACTTTTTTTTTTAACTCGTCTTCGTTTGTTCAGCCCTGTTGGTATTCTACGTGCCGTCTGAATCGGGGGAGAAAGTCACCCTCGGGATTTCGGCCCTACTCTCTATGACGGTCTTCCTAATGACTATTCGCGAGTCACTGCCGCCCACGGAGAAAACACCATTAATAAGTGAGTATCGTTTAATCGGCGATAATTCAAAAGCCTTTGAACAATATTGGAAACGAAGAAAATAATTGAAACGAAAAAAAAAAAAAATAAAAGTAAAGCTTGTTGGCGACGAATCTTTCGGAAATAAAAATAATAGTAATAATAATAAATTCGGCGACACGCCGTCGAATTATTATCGTATAAAAATAGAGAGACGAGACAAAGACGAAAGAAGACATTACAGTCATTATCTGTATTTGTTGAAACGTGAAATTCAGCCTCCATTGGTTAAAAACTTTTCTTTGCATTTCTCCCAAAGGGGATCGATGATACTTTGTACGAGATACGTTATCGAGCGAATTGTTGCGAATAGAATTTGCGTAAAAGGTTCAGATATTTGTGGCACAATGACTGGTAGTATCAATGCTAACAATGGTGGAGCCATGTTGATTGAAAACTCCCAAATGTCTCTTTGAAAGTCCTCCGATACGAATGCGAGATGCAACGGAATCACGTTTATCCCATTGTAGAAACATCGTGCTCGATTTCATTTATCGCGAAACTCTCTCTCTAATTGGGAACTTGCTGGACAATTAATTTATACAGCGGAAAATTTGGCGGAGTTTTAATCAGATTGGAATAATGGTTAATTTGTTTTGCGTATTTTATTATCAATTATCGCATCATCATTTTCAGGTCTTTATTACGGAGTCAGTATATGCCTGGTGACATTCGCTTCAGCGTTAGCGGTGGTCACTTTGAATCTTCATCACCGCGGTGTTCGAGGTACCAGAGTACCTGGTATCGTTAGATCATTGGTCTTGGACAAGCTCGCCAGGATAGTGCTCCTCAACTTTCAGGAGGAGAGAAGATCGGTAAGATTTGTTCCTCGAACGAGGAGTTTACTTATTTCCCCCCGATGTACGCCCATAAACGATGCACGATTTGCATTAGGAACCGGTCGAACCGCCAAGAAGAAAAAACAATTGTCCGCTGCACTGCAAACCGGAGCTGGCCCAATCGCAATCGTCGCCCAAGTTCGTAACTAGGAGGGAGGAAAGTAATAGCAGCAGTCCCAGTTTAGGTGAGTTTTGCGGGATTTGTGCGAAAATTCATCGATGTTCCAACGATGCTTAAGAAGGAACAACTTGGCGCAGATCTTGGAAAAGAAGGTGGCCTTGAAGCTCAATGGTCACGCGTGCTAGGGAGAGTGCACGCGACGATCGAGAGAAACGAGAAACGACTGGCGGAGCAGGATCGTCGCGAACGAATGGAATTGATTGGAAACAGGTCGCGTTGGTCAGCGATCGAGCGCTTCTTTGCGTCTTTTTTTTGACGACGATCGTCAGCACTACGGTCATCCTGTGTGGTTCTCCGCCAAGCACGAACATTGCCAAACAGGGTTAAGATAGGGAAAGGACGATGGTAGATTAATTGAGTTGAAAATTTTCCAATACGAAATTCGAGTAACTTTGTTTTCAAATAAGATCCATGATATAAGTATTAAACTAACTATTATATAAGCAATTTTTAGGAATAAGGTGTATGTACAACGTTCGTTTGTCGAAGATAAGTTGCTGGAAGAAAATAAATTCTTTTTCTTTTACGATCATTTTTATCATTTTATTAATTTGATACGTGTATTGTATAAAAAAATTATATAAATATCTTTAAAAAATATGAAAAATATTCATTTTAATAGTAATCAGGTACAGGCGCACAAGCTATTTTAACAAAATCTTCGTATTTTACTTGTCCATTTGGAGACACATTTGCCTCTCTGAAAATTTGTTCCACTGGAAATTAAACACGAATAAATTTAAACAATGATCGTTGGAATATTTTGTAATAGTGAAGTAATAAAAGACCAACCTTCTTTGTTACTTAATTGTTCACCCCAGTGGAGCAACATATGCGCCAACTGTCTAGCTGGTATAGTGCCAGTCCTAAATTTATCTGCAGCTTGAAAAGCATCTATCACTTCTTTTGGTAAATCCTCAGCTCTAGTTTGTAGATGCATGACTTCCAAAAAATCGGCAAAAGACATTTTTCCACCTAAGATAATTGTAATTTTAAGAAATTGGAATTTCATTTATACAATTTATTTTTATACCTTTATCTTTTAAATATTTATTCAATTCTGCAATAGTTGGACTTAATCCTAATGATCTCATAATGATTGTAAGTTCGTCCAAAGTACGTATTTGACCATTCCTTGCAAATAGATAAAAACATTCCCTGAATTCTGTAAGAGAACAAGTCTTTATTTTATAAATAATAATCCTGAATAATAAAAATTAACACAATACCATCTATATCTTCCTCTCGAAAATAACGAGCCTAAAATATAAAATAAATAAGGATAAGTATTAGTATTTTTTTATAAAATTCATATTATTTAAAAGTTGCAATTACCATAATACAAAACTTTGTTGTTTACGTGTCAAATAACGTTATCCAAGATAAGGTTAAGCTACTGAGTAACATAACCTTATCCGACTTTTTCACTGTATAGAGGCGACATCCTCGAGTGTTACGTACATTAATTGTAACAATCAGTTACCATTAGCGATCGATCGATCTTCATTTAAATTTCATATGATAATTTTATTTCTCTTGATATTATTAATCAATAATGACAACAGAAGTACGTGATCTTTTATTCATATAAATTGTTCGTGGTTAGCATAATGAATCTGCGAAACAGTACTTGAGACAGTTTTAAATCAAAAGTTTAAACTTTAATTTCAAATTAAAAAAGAATTTTAAATTATACAACTTTATAAAATTATAAAATATTTTATTTAAACAGAGAAAAAAAGGAAAGAAAATTAAAAATGCAAAAATATTTTAGTCTGATCAATTATAGTTAGCACTAACGAAAAGAAAAAATAAACAAAATATATATAATGTATTCTACGAGTTATAATAAGAGGTAATCGAGTATGAGAAAAGCTAAGTCTGTTGCAGAAGTTTTTGAAGAAAGAAATTTTTTACGTATTATTAAGCAAATTCAATATCATTGATATCACATGTTCACCTTCTTCCATTTACCGTATAATTGGCGTTGTAATTGACCTCGTAGATATGTGAGCAAGGATTCAATGGTAATAATATAGAATTTTCTATATTACATTTTCGCATCAAAAAATAACTTATTTATTTCATCATAGATATATCGATATTAGATAAATCTTATTAAATAAGATGTTTATTATTTATCGAAGGAGTATTATTTTGCAAAAAAAAATGCAGTGATTGTGATAAATTTTAATAAAAATCGGTAAAAAAAATTGCGGTATCAAGGTATCGATTATTTTCCATTGGTACCAACCTTACAGGATGATGATCATAAACCCTTCGGTCGCCCTTCTGTTTCAGGAATACTCCTTTCCTTTGACCGACGACTAAGGTCAAGTTACAGGGAGGTGGGAGTCAGTATATGATAGTAGAGTGGGGTACTTTCCACTGGGAAGGGTTGGTGGTATAGCGTGCCACTATTGGAAAGCATCGCTTCGCGTCCAGACCAGGCTTGGTCTTTGAAAAAGAAAGAGCACGCGCTATTGGGGGAATAAGAATGGATATAGGAGAGTTTGTAAGGCAAAAGGAGAGAGGGCGCAGTACAGCTGGGTCGAACGCGACGTGGTAGGGGAAGTCGTTGTCCTCGGAGTCTTCGTTCGCACGAGTTCCCGTCAGTGCAACGCGGAACGCGTTCCTGTTCGTTTATTGTTGAGTCGGGTTGGTGTCGCATCTACTATTTCCTTTATTTCTGTCTCTCTTTTTCTGTCTGACTATAAATTTCTTTGTTCATTGTTGAACACGAGAGACCGACAACACGCAATCGTGCGACACACGTGTGATACCGTGGGTAGTTAGTGCAGTGTGACAGGATGCGGTACAATGACCGTAAATGAGTAATCGACGGTGCTGGCAGAACCGGTCGGAAGGACGAGAATCGCGGCGGAAAGGACGCCTGTGGCAGGACTCGAGCCGTTGTGCATAGAGGTAGGTGTCAAATAATATGCGAGAACAGCGAGCACGCGCAATATTCTACGTGCGAATCTCTCTTTTTCCCTTTCCTCGGTATTTCCTTTTCTTTCTCTTTCTCTCTATCTCATAATCTGTCTCTCCATTTATCTCTCGTTCTCTTTTCGTTTTCGTTCTCGCGCGACTAAGCAATAGTTTTTTTCGTCGTGCAGATCTACCCCCGCGTCTCTTCGGTACACCTTTTCTCGTTACATATCGAAAGGTATGCAAGTCGTTGGAAGAACGATGCCAGATTTCCCTCGCGATCATCGAGATTATTTTAATATACAATGCCATGTTCTATCACTATGAAATCTGCGTGAAAATGCGCGTCGCGTCGTTATAAAGCATCGAGATTCGTTGCACGCATATTCCTTCGTTGTTTTGTATAATAGTGTGTTTACGTCGGATTACACGCGCACGATGGAAGATTTAAATGTCACGTAAAACGCATCCCCAGCGCCACCAGAATGTCTGGCGGAAGTTATTTCGGCGGATACTGACTTTTTCAACTTTTCGAATTACACGAATTGATGAACGCGATTATAGGTTAGCTTGGTATTTTTTATACCGTATCTTTTTTCGAAGCAAACACGAGGAGTTTTATGAATTTACGAAGTAAATCAGAGTTTAGAGGGAAGGCAAAAGATACGAAGATATAATAAAAGGAATGGTTGTTATCTTTGCGAAAAATTGCAAAAGTTATAGACTTTAATTGTCGTTTAATGAGAAAAGCGAGCGTTAAACGCGAGCTCCGGATATCGAATTGGCGCATGTAACGCTATGGAGCGTTGCATAAGGCCGCTTATCTATGTGAAAGTTATATTAAAAAATAATCAAAGGAGTCCGTTAGGAGGTCGAAAGCATTGTTCACCGCACGATACTCGCTCGGCGAATACAAAAGGATGCGTTAAGACTAATTAATGTTATCAGACGGCGAAGTTTCCCGCTGAATTGCCCAGCTCCGTGTAATTGCAAACTATGCTTAGCCAATATCATATCATCGATATTGCGCAACAACTTGCCTCATTTCGATTCAGTTAATTCGACACGCCGTTTAAACAACACACTGTATTATACATAATGGTTAATCCATCAACATCCATGTCGGATCTCGTTAACTGTAAATTACGAGTCTTTGTACTTGGAAACCCTTCTCTAATTCGATCTCATCCGTTCGATCGTTCCTTCGGCACTCGATACTAATCACAATAGAAACTTGAAATTAATAATCCCGAAACTCTCTCCGGCTTGCCTCCCTTAGACGCGATTTCCCAAATGAACGTAATCATGGCTCGTGCTAATCGCCTTAAGACAGGAATTAATAATCCTCGCACGTTCACGATTCGTCTTCGTAATTTCATCTGCTCGACAGGAGGAAATCACCGAGATTTTCTCAATTTGATTCGCGGGAAAGTTTGCAGTCTGGTGACTTCGACTCGGTCGTTCTTTTATAATTGCTTTTTAGAGTGGTTGCACCGCCGGGCCTTTGTGCCCGTGTTACGTTCCATCGACGAACGCTTAGGACATTACGCAAAACATGTTTCGCTGGTACGCGTTACGAGGTAACGGTTCAGCGAGTCGCGTTCGATGGAAAATTGTCCGATATTCGCCAACGCCGAGATGTACGATCGGAATTCACGATTCTCTATGCCCACATTATCTCGGAATTTTACGCATTTTTAGCAATTTCAGTTTGTTTTATGTCGCGGATTCGCGCGCGTTCGAGAAATATATAATACACACGTCCCATGCCTTAAAATTTCTTCGTTTAAAATTTTTATCGACACCGTGAGAATCGGAAATAGATAGAAATTTTTCTCTACTGGTTAATTTTAATCATGGTTTAGCCGAGTTTCGAGGTTAATCTAATTTCTTTTATTAGCTCCCAATAGTGCATTTCGATCGAGCAATAAATTCTCGAATATCCTAATTCTTCTAAATCAACCAGGTATTATCGAATACCGTTATATCGGGTCCACAGCCGAGCCTGGCTTACGGTCCCGACCCGATTTTCCCGCGGCTAAATCCGACACGTTAATTTAAAAGTTCACCCGGTAGAAATTTCACCCGGGACGAGTGTTTCGAATAATGAGAAACGTTCCCTCGCTCCGTTTAATTCCGCCCCAAGAAAATTAACTGCACTCGTTTGCAACAGGCGAACAGGTGAATCGGAGTAAAAATTGGAAAAGAAAAAAAAAAGAAACAAAATCGAAAAGGACCGGAGAGGGGAGAATCGCAACGCTGCGAACGCTCTGAATCGCGTTCCAGGAGAGATTCTGGGTTCTCTCTCCGGTATAGGTGAAACCGTAGCTGGTTTACCGCTACGCCCGACACGCATACCCTCGTTTCGTCCAATTGGGCCGCGTTGGTCGCGCGTATTCCCGCTAATAATGGCCAATTGATACGTTATCGCGACCGATTGCATACGAATGCCGGTATTAAATATTTGGTGCGTGGACAGGTTGGCGCGTGTTCGTTGGCAAATCCGCGAGCTGGCTGCTCGTTCGTTCCATTGTTCTTTGCGTGTATTCGCCGAAGGGGAGAGGGAGAGGCAAAGCGACGTAACGCGTACCGGTACGTGGGACGATTATCATTCGCGGATCGTCGGCCGGGAGGAATAGCGCGGTACGCGCGAGACAATTTTGCAAATTGTCACCGGAGAGACGCGGCACGAATTCTCTCCCTTGTTCCCCGCCACCTCTCCTCTTTTTTCCCCTCCTCTCTTTCCACGCGAGAGAATTTGTTCTCCGTGGCGACGTGGTAAAGCGAGGCCAACCGCGCTCCACCGACCGATGGAGGATGAAATGAAAGAGGATGAAAGAAGGGAATAATCGTATGGAAACGCGAATGTTTGTAAATATTTCGAGAGAGGCGAGATAGATCGGACCGAAGTGAGCCTGTTTGGTCCGCCTATTACGTCCGATGATTCCGTGGGTCGACGAAAGCCGATTCGCTTCGGTTATTTCGTCGCTTCGTTTTTCATTTTTCATCGCACTTTAAGGATTCATCCTGTGAATAACGGAATAACAGGGCTTTCGCTCGCGAGAAGAATGAGAGAGAGAAAAAAGAAAGCTCTGCGGTAGGAAGCGAAAGGAAGCAGCGGAAACCCCGTTCGAGCAAACTGCTCGTTTTGGTTGCACGGTTACGGTGTTATTCAATACATCGCATCGCGACACCAAAGAAACGGATATAAAAATGGAAAAATCAACGCGTCGAACATGGTGAACAAGCGAGCCGGCGACAGACTAGATATCGTTTTCCCGCGGAAGTTTGCCACGACAAGCCGGTGGACGTAGTAAGTTGTGCACGATGATGGACGTTTCGTTCTAACGCCACGCTTTTTTTCAAATATCCCTTTCGACCGCGATTTCTATTCGTTTCGTGTAGATGTTTAGAAATTTTCTTCTCCCATCTTCTCCCATCTTCTTCCATTTTCTTTCTATCATTTTGAAGAAGATTTTTTTGAAGAAGATGATTCCTATACTTCGAGTACGAAAGAGTGTTCGAATTCAATCAGGCTCGCCTTGCCTGCAATTACTTTTTTTTTTTTTAGAGTAATGCATCTTTTGAAAAGTATCGGCGAAAAAGTTGTTGGATGATCTCGCGGTGGGTGAAACAGTTCGTATTCATCGTTTGTCGACGATGGAGATACAAGGTCTGGAAAGGAAAGTCGTAGAAGAATCAGAGGATCAAGCATTGACGATGATTTATCGCGCAAGTTGGCTTCCACGCGTTCACCTCTCGAGCAAATTTTTCGAGGAACAACTCCTCGAGGAGACTCTTTAGAGAAGAATTGCCTTCCTTATCCGCCCTTGCACCCGTGTTTTCGCGTCTCTCGCATCCATTTCTATTCTCTTCTCTCCCGATTTATTGCTGATTAACGGTTGCCCGTAAAATCGCTCGTCCTGATCCGTGCCGCTCGAGACGAATCGAACATTAAACTCGGATTCGCATCTTCTCGAGTAACGGAGAGTGTGCGGAGATTGTTGTCAGCAGCCATAATTCGGTCAGCCGTACGGGAAATAAAAGATCGGCTCGCGATACTTGGAAAGCCTATTCGAAAAATTAATCTCGTCGGGCGGTTTTTTTTTCTTCTTTTCCAGGAATATAGGATCGATCGGCGGCGAGGGCGAAGAGGAGGTGCCGATCGTGGTGGAAGGTAGGAGTCGAGGGGGAGAAGGTTGAAAGCGTGGGAGGAGGGTCGAAAGGTTGAGCGATCTACGGAGGAGGAAGAAGAGAAAGAGGACGTGGCGGAAGCACGTTCGCTGGCGGTGGAAGAGGAAGAGGAAGAGGAGGAGGAGGAGGGAGAGAAAGAAGATCGAAAAAGGGAAGGAGACGGTGGTCGAGGGAGGAAGAGAGATGAGCCTGGTGGGTGACTGGCAAAGTGCGGTGGTCGGCTGCTCGACGAAAGGCAGATAGCGCCATTAGTTATTGCTGGGCCGGAGAGCGTCGAGCCGATGCGCGCTACGGCCCTGGCCGTTGACGAAGAAGGGGAAGAGGAGGAGGAGGAGGAGGAGGAGGAGGAGGAGAAGAGGAGAAGGAGGATAGAGGAGGGCAGGAAGGGGGCCCAAAGGGCCGCGATGTATCGCTTCGGACCGGGCAACGTTATCCTCGAGGAATCGGAGAAATTTCCCCGATTTTCTTTCTGGCGTTCGGTTGCCTTCTGATCGTCGTCGCCATCGCCTCGCCTCTTCATCCCGCGCCACCGCACAGAGGTGAGTCACGTTCACGTTTCGAACGGCTTTCATCGAATCTCCCATTCACCAGATGTGTATCCTCGTCAATTTCCCCGCTTCATTAACAACTCTTTGACCAACAGATGCGCCGATTATACACGTTTATATATATATATATATATCGTGTCCGATTTTCGATCGAAAACCTCTCCCCTCCCTCCCCTTTCACGCTGTTTACCGGCTACAATCAGCGTTTGGCCTTTTAAACAAGCTACATCCTAATTATACCTATTACTCGAGAGGTCAAACGGCCACCGTTGTTGTAGCAAGCAAGGATTCCGCGCACTTTGCGTAACCGGTGTTTTCCCTATGTATTTGCTTTAACCGGTGTAACTAGGATCAGCTTCGATTAGAGATAACGTCAAAGAGGAGGGGGGGGGTGAGTCACGTTTCAGACGCTTTTTCTTTTATCTCTGATCGCGAATTAGCTATCCCTCCCCCCGATAACGTGACGAGGATAGAAGCACGCAGAGAGAGAGAGAGAGAGAGAGAGAGAGAGAGAGAGAGAGAGAGAGAGAGAGAGAG